AGGGCTCTTTTCGTCCTAACGCACCCCCAAACACCCTGAGGCAGGAGTTCCTGGAGTGGTCATTTGCCTTGCTTATTGCTCCAGACCTCAAAGAAACCCAACAGACCCTCGCGTCTCCCCCAGCACTCCCATCGGCGTTCTCCAGCTCCACTCCCCCCCCACCTCAGATCCCCCCCTCCCCGCCTCTTCCCCAAGGCCCAGGCTGCCCCGCAAGACTCTTCAGTCCTTACCCCCACGAAAACACAGGACTCCTCCCCTCCGAAGGCACACAACTTGCATTCTCACAAGCAGAGCAGTTGTCGAATCTCTCTTCTAAACTTCAAATCTCCCCCCCACACCCGTGGATTCACTGAGTTGGGCAGAGCATTTTTGAAGATTAGAGAGGATTTATTCTAATTTTTTTTTTAAAGACCCTTTATTCCCCAGGAGAATTGGGCTCTGGCATCTTGTCTTTCTCATTTGCATAAAGATAATTTTTGCAGAGCCAAACAAAACAGGAGACAATTTGCCGCGAGATTCATTCTCTCCCTCCCTGCCTTTTAAATTTTTTTTCTTTTCCATCTCTCTTCTTCCCCTCTTCTTTTTCTTTCCTCATTTTCCTTCTTTTCTACCCACAAACCATATGTTCTTTATTGAGATCCCGCTCACACGTTCTCAGCCCACTTCCCCAGCTGCGGGGGCACCGTAGGGGCACGCAGGGGCAAAAATCACGGGGGCTGGCCCACACCACATTTCAGTGCGGAGCCCAGATCCCCATCCAGTCCCTAAATCCGACCTCATCCCGGCTGATTTTCCAGTGGGGAGAATAGCGGCGCCAAAGCTTTTGACAAAACAACTGCGGGGGGCCTAATGAAGGTCGCTTCGGCCTGGCGCTGCTCTGGGCCGCGGGTTTAACCCAAGCATTCACCAATCCGGTATCACTGCATCCGGCCAAGAAGCGCGTGGTCAAGGACTCGGTCCTTTGATTTCCTTCGCGTGAACGCGGGGCCGCCTTTCTGCGGAATCGAGGGTTTCATGGTGTTTGCTCAAACCACAGAACGATGACTGGGACCCGGCGAGCGGGCAGGCGCGTCTCTGAGGGGCTGCTGCGCCAGGCCCTCCAGTTGGGGCAAAAAAGGCCTGGGTGGCAGACGTCCCCCCACCCCCTCAAGTCAGGGATATTATTTTACATTGATCGTAATTTCCTCTTAAGGCCAGTGTCTGGCTGGCTAGAACTGAGGTCACCTCTTAGAGGCCACAAGAAGTCCGTGGACCATGAAAGGCTCAAGCCTGGGCCCACAGTGCGGAAGCTGCGCTCTGAAGGGCGTCCTGCGGCCCAAACAGACGTCACTCAACGACGATGGTACTGTTGATCCGCACATCCAAACCCGGGAGCGGAAGAACCTTCAAGTGAATGGGGCATGCTCGCCCCGGGCTCGAACAGGCAGCCGGCTGTCTATTTCACCTGAAGTTCCTCTGAAATTATGGGCAGAGGAGGCATCGGCAAGTTATTCCCCCCCCCATTATCTTACTATTGCCTTCAAGGCTTCAGTCGTTTTGCACGTGCACCGGTAGCGCGGATGGACAAACTGTGGCAGAGACTCTCCTGCCTGCTTTCTGGGTAATTTGTCAGCCTGGGGAAATGATGCTGCCTCCCAAACCTGTGTTCAGGGCTGCAGGGTGCGGGCGCTTGCCTTCCAAGCCCCACTGTGGGGCCACTCCTTTGTTAATTACCGCCCGCATCGCGCCGGGATTCGGTACGGAGATCTGGGCTCACAGGCCCGGGACCGCGGAAGGGGCCTGGGTGGAGACCCCCTTCCTGCTCTGGGGAGCGGGGAGGGCTGTGGTAGCTTCTCCTTCCGGAGAGACCACGGAAAGAAGGGGAGGCACAACCTTCAGAGATAGGGAAGGAGTGGCTGAAGTGTAGAACCGGGGTTCGTTCTCAAACCCAATCTGGAAAACCGGGAACCACCCCGCCTTCCCGCGCGACCTGTTGCGCTCGACTTTGTCCAGCCTCTGGCTCTGGGCCTGGTCTGGTTTAACTGCGAGTGGGCGCCGTAGGCCCGAGAGCCCCAGCCAACATCGCGGTCCTGGCCTTCCGGGGTCGGACTTTAGGGATACCAAGTTCAGGGAACTTGGACTCCCCGAAGTCTTTAGGTCCAAAGTGGTCCCGCAGCCCTACTGGCCCAGCACCGGGAGACTGAGAGATACACAGCGAGACCCTGCCCTGGGTCTCTGGGGTCCTCTGACGGCCGCCTGGCTGGAGAGGGGCCGAGCTGATCTCTGGCTACAGAAGAACCTCAGAGCGCTCCGGCAGGGCAGGGGAAAGGCCGAGAAGGAGAGACCCTGGAGCTGCAGGCCCCCAAGCCACACACACACCCTCGTGGTATCTATTTGTACATTTTTTATAGCAAGTGGTGGCTGGCTTATGGATGCTTGTACTGGGCTGGCTCCCATGGGTACTCCAGAACCAGTTCAAGCCGCAGTACTTCCATTCCGGGATCTTCCTGGCCCTGCTGCTCACGGTGGCTGGACGCGCAACCCGGGAGAACGAGTCTGCGGCGAGCGCGTCCCTTCCCGGATCTGCCAGCTCTGGGGAGGAGAGCGTCGGGTCACCGCCCACAGGCTTTGGAGACCGAGCCCTCAACACGTGACACTCAGGCCTGTATGTTCCTGGGTTCCTTTCAGCGGCGAGTTGAGTCTGCATTTGCTCTCTGAAAATACACTTTGGGCACCTACCTCTCTCGACTACCGCGGCCCCTAGAAAATGCCGTCTGCTCAACGCAATCAACCTTCTGAAGACGGAAAACTTGAAAAAAAAATCCTAGCTCCCGAGAGCTTCAGCCAACATTGGCTGAGCAGTGGCTTGAGCAGTGGCTTAGGAGACCAAGACACAGACTTGGGTGGCCACCAAGTTTGCAGAAAGGAAATGAGAAAGTTTTCCCCCTGACAAATTGAATCGTTTTACGTAAAATCAGGTTAAATAGGACTTCGTTCTAAGCAGCATCTCTCCTTTGTACTGTGAATGCACGTGGCCTACCCCCCCCTTGGGTGGGTGAGGAGACGTCCAGACTTTTTCCGTGTTTCCAGAGGCCTGTCTCGGCTGCTCCGGAGGTCAGTCAAACCTTTTCATGTTGAAGCCCAGCGGAAAGCTGCCTGCTTTTCCCACTTGCGAGTGGATTTTTAAAGGGCCAACTCTCGGAGGGTTGAGCAGCTATAGCTCCCAGCCACCCCCACCCCCACCATCTTCCCTTCGGTGCTTGCCTTAATTAGGGGGTGGGTTAGTGGGGTTGGGGGCCGAATTCAGTAAAAACTGTCAAAGGAGTTGGGGGATGGGAAACAGAGAGAGAGAGAGAGAGAGAGAGGTGGAGAACTCCGGCACAGGAAAAATTCAAAAATCGTAAAGGGAAAAGGGGGAACTTGAAGCCCAGAAGTCATTGTTTCCTTTATTTCAAAGGGAAAAACCTGCCCGATTCTCATCCTTTTGATTGATTAAGGCCCTGAATACCTCGCAGTCCCGGAGTGACAGTCCCTGAATAGACTCCTGCGAATAAAGCGCAGTGCAGAGTGCGGGGCTGGCACTCGGGGGTGTAAAGGAGGCGAGTTCGCTGGCACTTACCAAGTTATAAATAAAAGGCTATGCACAATGGTACCTTCTCTAAGGACAGACAGTCTTTACAACACTCCTGGCGTCATATCCTGCTGGGGACACTTCAGCTCCTAGCCAAGACTTCGCTCCTTTTATTTTTCCAGCAGTTTAGTCTTGAATACCATAATAAATTCCTGAGAACAAACGCTGCAGCCGGGCAAAACTTTAACATATAGACACATATCTGCCGCGGCATTGGGGATCTATACCTCGAGATTTAGAGCTGCGGCTTCCCAGAGTGGGTTTTTCAATCAAGAAGAGACAGTTTTCTCCTCCTTCCTCCCCCCCCCCACTTCAACTCGTGACTCCTAGGGCCTCCCCATGGCTGCCTAAGCTTCACACTACTCCTGCTCCCAGACAGAGAAGACAAAAGCAGTTACCAGCACACCCTGGACTCCTCCTGGGAGGAACCCCACCAGGAGGCCCCCTACAACAAACCTAGGCCAAAGGGACATTGACCAGAGGAAGGAAGGCTACACACATCCAGGGGGCTCCCAGTACCTCCTTACTGGAATTGCGCCCCCTCCCGTGGTAGTAAACCAAGAAAGATGAGAGAGAGAAAAGTCACAGAAAAATAGACATAGACAAGGAGATGGAATGAGAGCAATAGAGGCAGAGACAGACACAGAGATACACAGCGAGAGACAGAGACAAAGAAATAGGAAGTCAGGGAGAGAGTGACACACGTAGGGTGAGAAAGAGAAATAGGGATTCCTCTTCTCTCTGCAGCTGCCATCTCCCTCGGACTGTCTCTCCCGGTTTCCACGGGTCTGCCCTTCTCTTCCGGGGAAGGGGCGCAGCGTGGGTCCCTCTCCGGGCCGGCCAAGGCCTTGGCACCGCCGCGGATGGGAAGAGAAAGTGGCCGCTGTCGCCCAATCAGCGCGTGTCTCTGCCACCCGGGACGGTCTCCCCGTCGGCCAATCGCAGCTCAGGGCTCCTGACCAAGCTTTGGGTGAAAGAACTAATAAATGCTCCCGAGCCCGGATCCCCGCACTCCGTGTCACGGCGGGAGGAGACTCAGGCCGGCCGCGCTCCCGCCCCCAACCCCCCTCCCTGGCTCGTCGCGGCGCTCGGAGCCCCCTCCCCAGCGCCCCCAGCCTCAGGGCCACTTGCTCAGACTCGCACCAAACTTTTCCGCCCTGGGCTCGCGATCCTGGACTCTGGGGCCTCCCTGCCCTCCCCTTTCCCCGGTTCCTTCTCGAGCCTCGCTCTGGACTAGCATTCCTCCTCCCCGCGTCCCTCCCTCTCTCTCCAGCCTTTCTGGGGAGGGGCTCTCCACGCTCCGGAGAGTTTCTGAGGGTCGCCAGCGCCGAGCTTGCCTTTCTATTTCGCCTTCACCTGGATATAATTTCCAAGCGAAGCTGTCCCCAGGATGACCACGCTGGCCGGAGCTGTGCCCAGGATGATGCGGCCGGGCCCGGGGCAGAACTACCCGCGCAGCGGCTTCCCTCTGGAAGGTAAGGGAGGGCCCCAGTGCCGCCCGTTGCCCAGGGCCGTAGCCGGGCTGCTCCACTCTACCCAGGGTCTCCACCGGCTTCTTCGGCGTGCCCAGGGCCCCTACCTCAGGAGGTAACAGTTGGGACGAGAGCTCCACTCGATTTTCTCCCTGCAAACAGAGCGCAGTTCTTTCTGCGAATTTTTGTGGAGCCTGCCTGCCAGGCCTGCTCCAGGCCAGTCCACTTTCTTCTGCTGTTTTGGAAACGCCCTGGTGGGGAAGGGATGAACCAGCTCCTGAGCACCAGAAAGCAACTTCTTCACATTTTGTCCACCCCGAGGCATCTCAAAATTGTCCCGGCAGCAACCATATTTGCTAAGCTCTTAGTTCCGAAAGAATCTTCTTGCCGGCGTGACGGGTAGTAGCAGGCACTCCGTGGCATCGTGCTTGGAATTTTTAGTATTAATTGATTAATTAATTAGAGTTCCATTCATCTCAAGTGGCCTCTCAAAGTTTCCATAACCCTTTGGGGGTTAGTCATCCAGAAGGGACTCTCAAGGCAGGAAGCCTTGCATTCCCGCTCGAGCCCTTCTGGAGAGTTTGTGAGGTTGGAGCGCCCGAAGGGGATGCCGATCCAGCCGGCTGGCCCTTCAGGCTGGGTCTAGAGTAGAATGTCAAAGCCAGAGCATGAATGGAGGTAAAGGGGTCCGTGAGCAGACCTGGCTGTCGGCTCTGTCCCAAGCTGTAACAGGTGACACGTGCTGCCACCTGAGGCCTCCTTTTGGGACCCTCTTTGACCTTTGGCAGCTCCACTCTTAGCCAGATGCCCCAAGGGCTGTCAATTCCTGCAAGTCCCTTAGTAAGGGAGGGGTTCCAATTGAGCAGGGTTTGGTGGGAGCGGAGTTTCAGAAGGCCGGCGTCTGGGTAAACTTTTCTCTCTGCCAGGATGCTGTTTCTTGAGCAAACCTCAAGATACTGGCCGCAGGGTCTCCCCTACCCCCAAAGTTTCCACTTTCTCCTCGCCCAAAAGGAAGACAGTTTCTCTGGGGCAAGTTATTTTGCCCTTGTTGCTCCCTTCACACAAGATTATGTGCCCCGAAATTGCTTAATAATTTGAGCAGATGTGATTGGAAAAGCGTCTGTGGGTGGCAGCCGGATGTCGGTCGAGCAGTTTCAGTGCTGGGCTGTAACATGCCGATTGTGGGAAAGAGTGCGAAATTAGGTGGGCTCATGTTTCCCGCTGCTGTCTGTTCTCCCGCAGTGACTTTCCCTTTGCCTCTCTTTTCGCCTTTTGCCCCCAGTGTCCACTCCCCTCGGCCAGGGCCGTGTCAACCAGCTTGGCGGTGTATTTATCAACGGCAGGCCGCTACCCAACCACATCCGCCACAAGATCGTGGAGATGGCCCACCATGGAATCCGGCCCTGTGTCATCTCCCGCCAGTTGCGTGTGTCCCACGGCTGCGTCTCTAAGATCCTGTGCAGGTACCAGGAGACTGGCTCCATCCGTCCTGGTGCCATTGGCGGAAGCAAGCCCAAGGTGAGCGCGGGGGCCTGGCCCTGGAGGCCTCCCGGCCTGTGATCTCCTGGGTTAGAGAAGATGGGGCAGGGGACAAGACCTATCAACTGGGGCCTTCCAAGGAGTTATTTTTCAAGACTGGGAAGGGGCTTATGGTGTGTGTGTGTGTGTGTGTGTGTGTGTGTGTGTGTGGTGGGGGTGGGAGGACTCGGTTGCTGCCTGGGCCGCTGCTCCTCCATAAATGCTAAGGGAAACTCCAGCCTTTTTGCAAAGGAGATATTATAGCATTTTTAAAAATGTGCCAGAACTCTAGAATACTCATCAAATTACTTTAATAAGCAAACCCCTAAAGCATGCAGCTGTGTGTGCTCACCTGTTGCTGGTTTCTTCCCCAAGAGTCTTCCCAGCTCCCACCCACTGCACTGCCCTTGCCAAACCTAATCTAAGGAGCCACTTTTGGTTTTCTAATGGTTTCTCTCCCACCTTCTGTCCCCAATCTCCTCCAGTCCAAATTGTCTTCAGGGAGTCAAAAACTAGGGTGATTTGTTTTCTTTGTAATGAGCGGAGATGACTTGGCATTTAAAAAGCAGTTTGGGACTACCCTCAAATTATTTTGGTTCCTTTTAAAAAATGAAAGAGTCACACTGGCTAAGGCTCAGTGGGAGGGGATTACATAGGGTCTGTCTTTTCTTCTAGATGTGGGGAAAATCCAATATAATTTTCTAGTTGCCACAAGGCAAAATCAAAAGGAGGGTTCTGGTAAACTGAAGACTTCCAAACACCCTGCTCCCCATCCTCCCTCCCTCCCTCCGCCCCAGATCCCCTTGCAACCTCTCCAAGAATCTCTGGAAACTCCTTTTATTGGGAAAAAAAAGCTATTCTCTCAAATTATCCATATTTGTTATCCACTCTGATTAATTTTTTAAAACCCATATAATCAGCTTTTGCATTTCATTCTGTTCTTCAATTTAGCTAAAATCTTGTGTTTTTTGGGGAGAAGTACAAGTTGCAGATCTAACTTGAATATTGCTTCTCTTTCAAACACTCTCCTTTTTAGTTTCATTTTCATGTTGTTTCTGTGTAAGGAGTTGACTTTCTTTCTTTTCAGGGATCAGAAAGTACACCCTCCCCCCTACCCCAAGTTGTTATAATTCTTCCTAATTTATCCTGTTTGTCCAAGCTTAACTAGAGAGGAAGAGGGTCCCCAGGGGTGGGGCGATCTCACTTCTACCCCTTTCTAAAAGTAAACTTCTTCAGAGAGTTGGGGTCCTTTTGCTGACAAGGGGTCTTCCCTGGGGGTGCAAGATGGAGCATCCCTTTCGGCCTGGAGGCGGTGGGGCCACCACATTTGGCCCAGAGTACTGGGTACCAACGCCTGCCTGCCTGTTCTCTTAAAGCAGGTGACAACGCCTGACGTGGAGAAGAAAATTGAGGAATACAAAAGAGAGAACCCGGGCATGTTCAGCTGGGAAATTCGAGACAAATTACTTAAGGACGCTGTCTGTGATCGAAACACTGTGCCCTCAGGTACCAGGCCCATTAACGTCTTCCTGAGGTGCGGCAGTCAGACGCTATTCCCCGGGCGGGTCATCGGAGCCACAATCACCCCAAGATCGATCTGGGCGATCAGGAGGCAGGCCCTCCCGGGGCCCTGAAATAGTCAGGAGCCAGACGCGCTCTTGGTGTTTTACCGAGAGGGGGCTGAGCTGCTGGTCCTGGGGTTGAGAGACCGCCAAGGGCTCCCCAAAGAGGATTTCTGTCGAGGAGGCAAAGGCAGGAAACGCAAGGCAAAGGCCAGGCGTCTATTAATATTGATGCTCCCTTTTAAAGAGAAACAAATGTTTTGGTAACCCCAACCGAAGGGAGATGGTGCTGCGCCAGCTGAGGCTCTGCCTTGTGCGCAAAGGAGGGGAGGTTTCGGCAACAGCCCGGATTCTTCCCGAGAGTCCCAGGGACCATCCGGCGCCCCCGGCGGCCCGGGAGGGAGGAGGAGGCGGAGGGAGAAGAGGGGCGAACGCAGGGGCGAGCGCGAGGGCGCGCGGGAGAGTTTGTTTTTAATTAAAAGGAAACTCCCTTTCCCCCCTGCGAGAAAGAGATATTTCAGAGTATGGATTTGTTTACCAGACGGGAATCTGGAAAAAATAAATGGGGGAGAGTGCATTTTCTTTTGATTTTTTACAATAGGAAACGATTCTGCAGTTGAAATTTAAACCCTTTATAGCCTCAAAAAAAAAAAAAAAGTTGAATTGCAGGGGACGGGTCCGCTGTGGTTCTTCCTCCCTTAACGCGGACCGCGGAGGCCTAATACCCAGGTGGTGGTAGGGGATGCTGGGTGGGCTGGCCGGAGAATTCTCTTAGATTGGAGACCTAGAGCCCCGGCTGTAGAGTGAAAAAAGGAAATGCTTCCCGCCGTGAGGAGAGGGCCAGAGACCGCAGTTGCCGGGTCTAACTTGGAGGTGCGGATTGTGGGGTGGGGGGTTAGAGTGGGAGGTTGAAAGGGTGCTAGAAGGTCGAGGATGCCCCAAGATGCAGGAGACAGGCGAGTTGTGAAGGGCAGCCGCTCTAGGGTCCGGGCTGGGGGTTCGGGGGCTCCTTCCTGCACGGCCTGGCAAGGCTCAGTCGTCGGCGCTCCCACCCTCCTCCCGCCTCCAGTGAGCTCCATCAGCCGCATCCTGAGGAGTAAATTCGGGAAAGGCGAAGAGGAGGAGGCTGACCTGGACAGGAAGGAGGCCGAGGAGAGCGAGAAGAAGGCGAAACACAGCATCGACGGCATCCTGAGCGAGCGAGGTAAGCCGCGGCGCACTTGGGCAGCGCGCTCAGGGCCCGCGCCTCGGCGACATCCGCGCTCTGACGTCGCGGGCCTGAGCGCGCGGGCCAGCCCCGGCTCGGGTCAAGGTCCCTCCTTGCTCGTATCCACTGCACCCGGGGAAGAGCATTCAAGTGAAAGACCAGAGATGCACCTGAAATTAAAACAAAAATCTCTTTTCTTTCTTTTTCTACTTTATAAGTCTTTCATCTGCACCAGCCTCAGCTCCTCGGAGTCTAGAACTGCGAACTGCGGTTTGGTGCAGGGCTACCCTCTTGCCCTCAGGTGTGCGGGACCGGGCGCTTGAGGAGCTGGGGACAGTCTGTGAGCCTCGGGAGGGGGGGTGTTTGAAGGAACTTTTGTGCCCTAAGGAAAAGCGCAGATCTTCAGAGAGGTTCCCATTATTAGAGGAGGGGTGGCGAGAGAAGGACTCAAAACTCTTTGGGGGGCAGTGGGGCCCCAGAGTTGCACCACGTTGACTGCCTTATAACTACATACATAATACATCATACATACATACATGTAAGTTGGTTGTTTTGTGCTATAAATTGGTTTTCAAATGCGATGGGGCTTGATTTCTGTGTGTGTGTCTAGGAAGGAAAATCAGCCTAAGATGTGGGTTCTTGGGGCCACGGTGTTGGTGCCCTGTCTCCACCCAAAGGTGAAGGCCACCTGCTCCTTGTTGGCTGTGACCTGTCATCATCAAGAGAAAGTCTCTCCTTTGGAGCCATAAGTGCAGCCTACTTCCCTTATACCTGCCACACACGGTCTGGAGAATCTAAAGGTGTCCCCCTCTCCCCAAAAGGAAAGCAAACCCATGGAAGTTGAACCGGAAAGGGATCCCTGCAGCAGTTTTCCACTCTGCAGTTTTGGCCCGGGGGATGGTCACACCTCTTCCAAGTCACAGAGGGTGGGGAGGCGCCTGGCATCCCTGCCACACCTTGAATTGCCCCTTCAGGGCCCAGGGCTTTGGTGGGTGGAGTTGAGTTTTGACTTGCTCTGGAAGGGTAGGTGGCTCTCCAGGTGGGCTTGGACACCCTCTGTGACCAGCTGGGTCTGTACCCTCAGCAGGTGGCCTCCAGAGTAGGACTGTGGGTGGAAAGCTGGTCACTTCTTTTGCTTTCCTTGCCCGACCCAGATGGCTGGCAGCAGCTTTACAAACCAATGCAAAATCTGTACACGACCTTGAAGAGACACTTAGATTTAGATGTGACAAACCCAAACAGCTGATTTCAGGGATCAACAGAAGCGTCCATGTTCTGGGACACATGGGCAATCAGGAAAAGACACCAAAAACTACGGCAGGCTGGGCAGGGAGATACATAGGGTGTTGCTTTCCTTAAAAGCAGGGGACTCACAGGGTCTTAGTTTAAGCCCCTTTTTTGGGAGGGGTGCTTTTCTGCTCTAGTGTCTGAGGTGACACCCCGGCTTTTATTCCAGGCCTAGATGCAGCAGAGAGGTACTGGGGAGGGAGGAAGGAGAGAAACCAGCCAATCCCAAACCCAACAGGCCCCTGTGGGCAGAGGGGCAAGAAGCCCAGAGCTATTGGAGAGGCTCAGGAAGCAGAATGGGAGTAGCACCGCTTTGCTACTTGTTGCTGGAGGCGCCGGAGGCAGACCGGCCTCTCCCTGGCAGCACAGGCAACCGAGGCCCAGGAGACAAAACGCCCCAAATGAGCTGGTCAAACATTTGTACAACTTTTCCAGCTTTTACAAAGAAGGCCTTCTCTACACAATCTACACTTGGAGATGAACTTGGGAGACAAAGCCTGGAGAGTCCATTGAAACTCACACTTTAGCTCGGCCTAGACAAAGCTCCAGCTCGCAGCAGCTTGATGTGAACAAAGGAAGGCAACCTTTTTATAATTCAAGGAGAAAAGAAGAGAAAACAGCTCCACAAAGGGCTGAGAATAGACATTATGGGCTTGCAATGAGGGATGAATTATTCAATGAGCTCCAATAGCTTCTGCGCCAGGAAGTTTTATGGACTCTCCAGCGTGGAAAAAGTGGCTATTTCACCTACAAAATGTTTCTAGTCTTTTGGGCCATCTAGCTGGGCCGGCTGCCATTCAAGGGCAATTGCTACCATTTTTTAAAATCAGAGTATTCTCCCCAGCGGGGGCCGTAACGTTGAAAACACACACACTCCACAGAGGCTGAAGCCTAATTTAATTTGGGGTTGTCAGAGAAGATGCAGTGTCCCTCTTTTTAGAGGCTCTAGCTCCTTTTCCAGATAAGCCCTGGAGGGCAAGAGGGGCAGAGAGAGGACAGAGTGAAGTGTAGTTTAAAGGGAAGTCTAGAAACCTCAAAAAAAAAAAAAAATACCGCTGTTGTTTGAGCACCAAATTCACCGGCTGTCCCGCTTGTAAAATAGAATGAATGTTGATAAAGTGACCTGAGCTCCCTGGCCGAGAGGAAAGAGACTGGCCAAGAAAGGACCTTTGGGTGCCCTGAGCAGGGCAACTCGCTCTCTCCGGAGGTTCCAGCTTCCTTGGGGGGCAGGAGGGGGGGATGTTAAGACTGGCTTTCCGGGGGGGGACATCTTTCTGCTTGTCAGGCTCTAGGACACAGGAAGAGAGGCACCCTGAAAGACGTCAGAGCTGCTCTCATTTTTTCTCTCCAGTGTTTGGCCTTTTTCCTAGGTGACCCCTTTTACCTTCTCAACTTTTCCCTTGTCCCTTGCCCAATCCAAGAGCTGCTCAGCGTGCATCCTCGGTGTGCTCAGGCCCTTGCGCCCTGACGCGCACTAGAGGCTGTGCACCCCTCCTGGGTCCATCCTTCCAGCTCCTTTGCCCGGGTGCAATGAGAAGGTTGGGAGGCCAGGGACAGCACCCCAGCCCCCGCCGCCCGCCGCGCCTAGTCCCGGCCCTCCGGCCAGCACCGAGATCGGAACAGGCGCAGTCGGAGGGGCCAGGCCCCGGTCGCAGCATCGGGGGCCGCGGGCACAGCCTCCGCTGCGGCCACTCAATGGGCGCCTCTGTTCCTCCCCCAGCGCGGCGGAGCGGGCCCGCGGGCGCCGCCACAATGGGTCGGCCCCCACTCCTGCGCCCTGCGCCAGAGCGCCGCGCCGCCCCCTCCCCTGCGCTCCGGCCGGCTCGAAGCTTAGCTCGCCGGGCTGCAGCCGACTCAATTGCCTCCTTTATGTCCTTCTCACTTTCATCTAGACACAGCCCGCCTCCCCCCCTTCTTCTCCTTTTTTTTTCTCTCTTGCCTGAGGCTCACATTAGTGAAATTTCTGCAACCTCCCCCCATTTTTTTTTTTTATTTTAAAGAAAGCCCTTAACACAAAAGCAGTGACTAATCAATAGAAACGGCTCCTTCATCTCTTCTTCCTCCTCCTCCTCCTCGTCCCCGTCCTCCAGCAGGGTGACGCTTTTCCTGTTTGTGAGTTTTAGGAAACATTTTTGCTTTGTGCCGTAATGGAATTAGAGGACAGATGAGGACTGTAAATGGGACACGCGACGGCAAGACTCTCGCTTAAATATTTAGATGCAACGTTACAATTACTGACTTGTTGCAGCGGCTTTGAAGTGGTAGCTCGGGAGTGCAGGGGGAGAGAGGCCAGATTACCCACTTGATGTTTTGATTGGGGCTGGAGATACACTTTCATAGGACTTCGCTGTCCCCCTTTAAAAATCGCTAGTGAGCGTGGGAGGTTTGCAACAATTTCCAAGATTAGGCCAAGAGACCCCAAGCATAGGTCGCTTCAGGCTTCTACTCCGTTCATCTCTCTCCCTTCCTATTTGACATTTATGAAAAGCAGGTTTGTTTATTTATTTTTTTCATTTGAGAAGGTAAAAGTGACAGAAGTTTTACTCGAGTCCCGTTTTGTTTGTACACGTGTGAGCTTTTCTGAAATAACTAGGACGACATCAGCTTTTCAGCGGGGCATAAGAGAAAGCAATTAAAAACGCAGAAGTTTTAAAGGCCCTTGAAACTTTTCATTTCCAACGGAATCATGAAAGGAGCACTTTATCATTAACGGGGGCCACTGAAGTCGAAAGAAACGGAAGGCCGTTTCTTCCCCCCGACTTAGCAGGGAAGGACATTTTGGCGCGAGGCAAAGCAAGGGAGGCGGGGGAGGAACTTTCCCACAGACTGAGATCATGGGGTATAAGATCTTAGGTTTGTGGCATCGGAACCTTTATTAAAGTGGACAGCCCACTCTCCAAGTCCATTTGTCAGAATCCCAAATTTGACCCCAATGTCGCCTCTAGTCTTTTGAGTGAATTTTATGTTTTCTGAAGCCCTTACGATACTCAGCAAGGAAATAGCACCCATTTAAAAGTGTATTGGAAATATCAGAACTTGAAATTAAAACGCCACGCTGCGTTTTTTTCAGGAACGTAGTGGTAACGGTTTTTCTGTTCAGATGGTAAAAAAAAAGAAGGAAGGAAGGAAGAAAGAAGGAAGGAGAGAAAGAAAGAAAGAGAGAAAGAGAGAAAGTGAGAGAGAAAGAGAGAAAGAGAGAAAAAAAGAACGAAAGAAGAAAAGCAAACCACCAGAATTCGGGTCTTGTGGGTTTTTCCTTTTTGCTTGTTTGTTTTGTTTGGTTGGCTGCTGTATGTTTGCTTTCTAGCCTTATTGAAATCATGCAGATTTTCTAATTAATGCTTGAAATCGTATGTTTATTTTGGAGCTCGATTTGATTGTTGATAGCACCGGAACGGGGACGTAGGGGCTTCAAGTGCGTAATAATTACTGAAGGGTCATTTAAGAGTCCCCAGGGCTTCGCAATAAAACCTGCTGGGGCGGTGAGGCAGAACCAGCAAGTGCGCCCCGGTTCAGGAGAGTGGGATGTGCAGAAATCAATCAGGTGAATAGGAGCGTTGCCACTGAACCCAGTTGCAATAACCACAAAAAAAAATATTTTTGAAAACAAAAAAAAAAAAAAAAAAAAAGAAAGAAAGAAATCCTTCCTAACCATGAGGTTAAATGTTTAAGTCGTGCACAAATAAATAGCAAACGAAAATTAAAAGTCC